CATATATTTTTTTTGGAATTTTTGAACACAAGGTTCAGAAAATAGGGGTTGACTTTAAACCTTAATTCTGGCAGTATAGCGCAAGGAATACAATATCCTTCCATAGGTTTCCATCAATTTTAAATAGCAATGGGAGGTTTGATTTGTTAGCTCAAGAAAGAAGAGAAATATTGATTAATGTTGTTAAAAGAGAAGATCTGACAGAAAAATAGATTGAATAAATAGAGTAACTATACTTATATATTTGTTCTTGTGACACTTGGTTTTGATTTTTGTTGGAAAAACCCTGAATTTAATCCATTATAGAAAAACCTAGCAAACTTCTGGATAAAAGATTACATAGACTGGAACATAAACACTTTTACTTTAACTTTTTTAAAACAAAATAACACAAAAACTTGCAAAAAAGCTGTGAAAACCGCATAAAACATAACCGGCCTAATCTACACCAATGTAAATAATGGCCACGTTCACCAGATACAAACGTTGGTAAACGGTTTGCGATTGTTCTGCTGAACGCTACGTTCAATTTATGTTAAAACCAAATATGTTTTGCAAACGGTCGCCATTTTTGCAAGCATAATTTCAGAGTGTTTATAATTTTCAACACTGTGTTTTGTGTGGTGACCTGTCATTCATAAGATGACGTTCAATCATTGAAAAGTTGAATCGTTCGGCAGAACCAAGAGTTTACCCAACATATTCTGTTGGTATTTGTGAACTGTTTACATTCCGTTTTGGTTCTGGTGAACGTAGCCTTTGTTCTACCTCAGGGCGATTGTCAAACTCATTTGTGACGTCACATGGACATGCCCTATGGAAATTGTTTAGACCAATTGTTAGACCAATCAGTGTAGTTCAATGCATGGGCGTCGTTTGGGGGGGGGGGGCAAGGGGGGCATTTGCCCCCTCCTAGAAATAGTCTTTTGAACAAGAAAGCAGTGAAAGGGAGTTCGTATTCGTATTGCTTTTTTCCATTTTTTCAAAATTTGTTAGGTACTTTGAAAAATTGGCTGACATTTTTATTACATTCAACGGAATTGAATTTCACTTGACTAAGGGCCGGTATTATAAAACACTGAACCGATGGTAGAGTTCCAACCTTCAGTTGAATCCTATCAATTGGCATGGAGTCAACCCAAGGTTGAAACTTAATCATCGCTTCAGTGTTTTATAATACCGGCCATTAGAAAATTACCTAAACAAATGCAGTGGCGACGCCAGGGTTCTATGTTAGGAGGGGGGGGCAGACTGGGCCAGAAAAATTTAGGGGGGGGGGGGCATTTGTTTTTATTTTACCGCTTTTCTTCTTTGGAATAAAAAATGGGAAGTACCTATCGACACTATTATGTTTGAGGTAATCCCAGGAAAACGCAAGCAGCATCGCAGTTGCCTGTGGCCAAGAACACTCAACCTAATAGGGCTGCTTCTTGAGCTGAAAATGTCTGCTATTTCAGCCGAACACCTCAACACTTGGCGTAGAATGCATTAGCCGAGTTTAAAACAGTCACAGGTCACAGTAATCGTTATAATCTTGTTAAAATCACCTTTTCTACATTTAAAATTGACGAAAAAACAAGCACAACCTGAATCGCAAGCATCCCATCGAGGCCTGCGGGTGACGTCATCAATATAAGCTGTTATGCTGCTAATTAGTAGTGACGTCACTCGCAGGCCTTTCCGACTCGAGAATTGACGAACGTACGCCTTATGAGGATGAGAATTCCTGTTAGTTTACGATTCTTGGCCTGTGCTCACCGAATACCGAATTAACCGACAGAGGCTGCTGATGTTACATTGCATTGTTGCCGACATGAGAGCAAGTTTTCAGGGGGGGGGCGGCGGCTAAATTTCAGTGGCGGCCCGGGCCCCCTCTGCCCCCCCTGGCGTCGCCACTGAACAAATGATGCGGACAGTGAATTTGTTGCGGAAAAAAATACCATCATTTGTAACTAAATATCGATATCAACTAAGTACCTTAAAATGCTCAAAAAGGGGCGTGGCACCAAAAAAAATTAGCCTACGGCGGTTGCCTGCGGCGCTAATTGGAATGGTCTTATTATAATTCTGCCCCCCCCCCTGAGAAACCTCGTAACGACGCCCATGGTTCAATGCCGGTAGGGGTATTTGCCCTCAGAGTAGTTGTTTCTGACTGGTCAACAAAGTTCACTGGTTGTTTTGTTCAAATTTGCTATTTTTATTTATTAGTTTATTTAATAATCTGACTAAAATCTTGCATAATATTGTTCATTCTCGATTGCATCCATGTATCTGTGTCAGAAAATATCATAACTTGCCATATTCCTGGCACGTGAATGTGAGCAGTGGCCTATTAGTACCTTCTTCCAAGGGAAAGGAGCTAAGCAGAAAAGCACAAGATTCAATGCCGCGGCTTATCTTTAGTTCTTTGGATTGTGAATTGAGTATGTTTCAACGATAATCAAAATATAAAAAAATATGCTTCAGTCCTGCTCTGCTATTTTTCAGTTTGTCATCAAAATTCACTGTCAGAATATGACACATGCATAACCTCCCAAAGACATTTGAAAATGTTTACCATCGTATGCAGGTAATAAAAATAAAATCCGTAACAACAACCAACTGAAAGGTGATAAATCTACCTTTACCTTTGGACTTCGGATTGTGAATAGATTTATACCTGATGAACATGAACTAATATATTGTAGGTACCTATACATATAATTTCGTTTTTTCCGGATATCTTCGGAAGTATTCGGAATATCCTAAATATCGAAGCGGCATTTTGTTAAGCATCAAATTACGCAACTTTGCCCCAATTTAACCAACCCTGTATCTCTTACCGTTTTCGAGATCCCAATGATGTGGCTCGAATTTGAGACACTCTGTACAGTCCATCGATCTTAATCTGATACTTCACTCCAAAGGAATGTGAGCTGGTGTCTCCAGACCGCCAATGGTCACCTGACGTCACACCTGTTTTTGCCATATGCTTCACCCCCTCACTCCTCATACGGAAAGTGTCAGATTAAAAACGACGGACAATACAATGAAGAAAATTTGGCACGTGGGTTAAAAATAATTGCATATATGAAAAAATTTGTAATAGCTAATGTTTAGCATGACATTCAGTGGAGATTATTGCTCACCTAAACCTTGAAATTCAAAAAAACTGGGGGGTTGGATTCAAGCTGGCCTTCTAAGAAAAAAATTCCGTAATTCTTTGGTAATAGATATGACGCGGGCTTGGAAAATCACTCTCATGAAACCAAAGAAGTACCTATTCATTTCAAAAATTAAGTTTACTTCACTTTAATCCATACGCATTCATTACGACCATTTCAGACAAACTGACTGTTGACTGTTCTAAACTTGTCTGAGTATCTTTTTGCACGTTGCACCAGCGAGTTGCCAAATTGTGAAAATTTTAAAAGTATTTTGTGAAATAATATGCAATATACATCTGAAATTGTTCGAAATTCCTCGAAATACCCTCAAAGGACCTCGCACATTTCTTATGGAAAATGGCTTTCGGCTAAATTTTCTGAAAATTTGAGATAATGTAGTTCTTGATGTCCTGATTAAAAGTTCTCATGAGCACAACTCAATCCTATGGTCAGTTTTTGAGTTATGGATTGTCAAAATTGGCTTTTTTAGACTTCGAGATATTGATTTTTTTTCAACATATTTGTTTATATTTCCTCGATTAGCACATTTAAATTAAAAGTTTCTACTCTAAGTTTTAGGCGTTTTGGTGTCTTCCTAAAATGTGGTATAAAAGTTCCTACAGCGTCTTACACAAAATGGTGGCGGCAAAGAAATGTCAATTTAGAAAAAGTCGCAAATAACTAAATTCGATCAATTGTATAGAATACAAAAACGAACGGCTAGATTTTGCCCTATTTTCAATATTTTGTTATCAAAAGTATACTTAAGAATACCTACTATAATTTTGGATCCAAAATGTTATACCAGGTGTTCATTTTGTGCCAGGGCCCTGGTGTAGATGGTAAATGCCGACTGCAAGCGGGTTTCAAGTTCAACTGCTGTTTCAATGGGCATTATTCATTGTTTTAAGTTCACCGTAGGAATAGAGTTCACTAAAATTGATATTGTTGACTAATGGGCGTTTGCACCAACCATTTTAGAATGGTCGGTGCAAACGGCCATAGTTTACAAAATATAAAATAGTCTGATGACTGACGAGTGTGTGACCTTTTATAAAACTGTATAAATAACCATTCTCACAGATATAGCGTAGGAATAAAGAGTGCCATCCCATCAGACTTATGCCTATCTACTTAAACTAATAAACATAATAATTTTTTTCATTGCCTCACTTTGGGGCAATTAATCAAGAATCATATATGGTAAAGTATTGGGAAAACTGCTGGTTGTGTTGTAGGGTACAATCTAAAGATTTCAACTACCTACCGAAGTTCGGCATCCAATATATCTAGTATGAGGCAGTAGATGGATAGCGAGTTCTTGGTGCCTCGCCCGGTTGTCTTCTTGTTAGAATATTTGATTTCAGGACTAGGAGTTCAACTCGCGAGATACTATTTCTATTGTACTACTCGAGAAAAAATATTATTGGTTTATCAAAAGTAATTCATTGAACATACATTTTGCTTCTCAAATATAAAGCTTCATAGCTTTTAATATACTAAAGTACTTTTGATAAAAAATATCGGAACTAATGTGTTTTACTTTTTCACACAATTACTTGAAGTAGAACTAAAAAACAGTAAAACTGGGGTCAGTTTTATGAAGAAGCGTAAACTCTTCCTCAGCTTACTTCTATTGATGCGCCAAGTAGACTTTGCGGCATTATCCATGACAACAAAACAATGGCGCATTTCGTAATTTTTTTGACATGTGAAAAGCAATGCAGTTATTCGCAGTGGTCAACAAAGTTTAATATTGTACGTTTGTTAAAGCGAGAATTGATATTTAAAATGGCATTTAGGCTAAATAATGTGGCATGTTATACTTACAATAGATACTTTAATAGACGGTAAATGGCTTTATTGTATGGTGCAGATAATGAACTGAAACAACAAATAGCGATTGGTCGAAGAGCAAATATAGATGGTTTAGCCGAGGAGCAAGTTAATGCCGAATCAAGACTTTGTTTAAACTGCCATCGTTCAATTTTGCGTGAAGTTCAGAATATTGAAAATAATCCTGCCAGTATGAGACTAAATGTTTTGAAACAAACTTCAATGCAAACCTGCCTTATTTGCAATTCAATGGATAACGTTCACAGATTATCTCTAAAATGTAGAGTGGATGTTTTTATTCGTCAGAATATCTTTATTCCAACCGGTACTAGAAGCTGCAATCATCATTTAGATGAAGATGGCCTACTTTTGTCATTCCTGCTTCCTGCCCTGCAATTTATTAATCACCCATATTTAGTTCCGGGACCGGAACTGGTGATTTTTTTGCAAGAAATTCGCTCAATTGCAAGGGGCGTTAACAAATGGCTATGCTGTGAGAAAGACCTCAACGAAGAGGAATTCAGGAGTGTTGTTGGTTTAAGTAAAGAACATTTTACCGATTTATACACATTTTGTCATCCTGTTCGTACTGAAAATCTAGCAGAAAGGTAAGTTACATGTACGTTTACTCAGTGAATTGAAGCTCCTAAAAAACAGTAAATACCAATGCATGTTTTTTGAAGAGAGACAAAAAAACTAAAAAGTATATTTTGGTGTAAGCTTCTAACTTCAAGATGTGATGTAATATGTGACAGTTTCTTGTATAGTCTTCAATTTTAAAGCAATTTTTCCAAAGCACGCACCGGTAAATAATGTATGCTTATCATACAATACCCAGCTTACAACCTTATGGTATTCATACTCTGATATGATTCTTTTTTTTAGGTCAATAAGCAAAAATAACTTGCTATCCTTTTTATGTAAACTGCGCCATGGTTTATCGGATGAGTTTTTGTGTGTTTTGTTCAAATACAAAAGTAGACAGAATGCAAGTATGGCGATTTCAATAGTGCGACAAAGTCTCTACGAACATTTTGTGCCCCAAAATATAGGATTTGAGGCTATTGGTAAACAGGAATATATTAACAGACATGTAACAGACTTCTCCAATCAACTTTACAATCCTAATCCAGAAATACCAATAGCAATTGCTTATGTAGATGGAACTTATAGCCCCATAGAAAAGAGCAGTAACTTTAGGGTACTTCGCCAGTCTTACTGTGTGCACAAAGGCAAACATTTGTTGAAACCTACTCTAATAGTCGCACCAGATGGTTATATTTTAGATATTCAGGGACCATATTTTTCTGACAGCCAAAATAACGATGCTGCTATTTTAAGTAGATGGAGAGTTTGAACGGGATATAGCTGGTTTGAGAGCTTGGTTTCAAAATGGTGACATGTTTGTTGTCGACAGGGACGTGATTCCACTTTTAAATGAACTAGGAATAGACCACAGAATGCCTTCTTTGTTACCAAGAGGACAACAACAACTTACCACCGAAGAGGCCAATGAGTCCCGCCTAGTTACAAAAACAAGATGGATAATTGAAGCAAGAAATGGTCATTTGAAGTCAATGTTTAAATTTTTTGCTAAAACACTCTCATTTCATCATGCCATCAATTTTAAACACTTTTTAAAGATCGCGGGGGCTATTATTAACAGGTATCATGAGCCTATTAGTTTGCCTGATTGAGTTTGCAAATATTATGTTGCAAAGGTCAGAACAAATTAATAACTTGCAAATTCGCATTGAAGAAGAGCATTGGCAACGCAGGCATGCCAGATGGAATGCCATCAATATTGAAGACCTTCCCAATTTTTCACGTCTAACGATAGAGTATTTAAGAAATCTAACCATTGGTACATATCAAATAAATCTGGCGCCTTCCTATATTCAACTCACAGTGCAAAGACAAGGAGAACGCAATGAATTTCAAATTAATATACTAATTGACGACCCACAACTCGTTCATTCACGAATTTATTTTCGGCATAGAAATGCAACTCGTTACCAGTTATGGATAGGATTCAACCATCAAGATCAAGATCCTATTACAGGCTATTATTGCACCTGCCGATCAGGTGCCAGGACATTGGGTTGCTGTGCTCATGTAGCCTCTTTTATTTGGTATATAGGATACTCAAGGCACCAAGAACAAATTCGCTATCCATCTACTGCCTTACTAGATATAGTCTTGGATGCCGGTAATCGGTAGAGTATAATTTTTAGCTTGTCTCCTCTACATCCAGCAATTATTAACATTTTTCAACGTTTTACCTCATAGTAGTAGCATCAATTCATTGTCTAAAGTTATGCAATGGAGATAATTAGTTTTAAGTATAGGCATAAGTTTGATGGCACTCTTTTCTTACGCTATATTTGAAAATGGTTATTTGTACAGTTTTAAAAAAGGTGAGACTATTCTATGTTTTGTACGCTTAGTCAATATTATCAATTTTAGTGAACTCCATTCCTACGGTAAACTTAAAACAATGAATAATGCCCATTGAAACAGCATTTGAACTAGAAACCCGCTTGCAGTCGGCATTTACCATCTACACCAGGGCCATGGTACAAAATGAACACCCTGGTATAACATTCTGGATCCAAAACTATAGTAGGTATTCTCAAGTATACTTTTGATAACAACATATTGAAAATAGGGCAAAATCTAGCCGTTCGTTTTTGTATTCTACACAATTGATCGAATTTAGTTATTTGCGACTTTTTCTAAATTGACATTTCTTTGCCGCCACCATTTTGTGTAAGACGCTGTAGGAGCTTTTATACCACATTTTAAGAAGTCACCAAAACACCTAAAACTTAGAGTAGAAACTTTTAATTTAAATGTGCTAATGGAGGAAATATAAACAAATATGTTGAAAAAAAATCAATATCTCGAAGTCTAAAAAAGCCAATTTTGATAACCCATAACTCAAAAACTGATCATAGGATTGAGTTGTGCCCATGAGAACTTTTAATCAGGACATCGAGAACTACATTATCTCAAATTTTCAGAAAATTTAGCCGAAAGCCATTTTCCATAAGAAATGTGCGAGGTCCTTTCCCCGAAATACCTTGAAATTTCCCAAAACACCTCCAAATTCCCCTACAATTCCTTGCGTTTGTACACTAAAATACCCCAGTGGTTTCCACCTCGGGTTGGAGTGTTTGGATTGTGATTTTGTATCTTTGCTCTCGATATATGCATACTTATCATGAGGGTATTTTTTAGAATTAGTTTATGTAAGAGCTGTCAATTAATTTTCATTTATAGATAATTATGTTACCTTACACATACAGGGGTTTAGTCCCGAGGTGGACTAATTAAATATTGTTTGCCCAGCGAATCTGAGTCTACGGAAGGAATTCGGACGTAAATGTGCCATGTTGCCACGTTTAATTATAAAAAAGCGAAAATATTAGGCATGAGTATAGTTAATTTGAAAATCCATTTTTTGATAACAAAATATTGATAACAATTAATTATAAAACGCTAAATATTTTTATTTGTCACTCATTTGTAAAACGTCACTTATCAAGTCAAAACATAACCAGCGAAAATTGATTTTTACAAGCTACTGGCTCTACTGACTTGTAAAATTGACAGCTAAACTGTAAAAACTTTTTACAAGTCAGTAGAATTATTTATTTTTGAAAAATCGGTTTTATCACAATAATAATTGCTTGTAGGTACCTTCTGGGAGACTTTTCTGGTGATAAACTGTTGGCTACGACTGAGGCTTCATTAATAATATCTTGTAATAAATTCATTTCTGGAAAAAAATTGCAAAATGGAAATCTGTCAAAAAACCTATTTATAACTAGAAACAACGTCTTAACAACGTATCATTCTCATAGTTATACCAACTACCAAAACTTCTGTGAGAAAAAATCAAGGAAAAACATATAAATTTCAAATTTTTGTTATGTATTGATTTTTTATTTGTCCCTATATCTTTGTGACGGAACTAGCTATTACCCTTTTGTGGACTCTAGTCATTACCGCACCAGGGATGTCAAAAGTTTTTACTTTGACTGACTGTAAAAATTAACCATTAGGTGTTGGATCATTTAAGCCTTGTATTGAACTAGGGGTGCCTTGATTCTCATTTATACAAATAAAACGCTGAAATAGAATAGTTATCAATTTAATTAATAAATGAAGTTAATTCGGTTTAATCAGCAATCAAATCCTATCTAATAATTCCTATTTGGACGTCCAGTCGAACTACAAATTTTATACTAATCTAAAGTAAATAAGCGAGTAAATAAGTATCTTGATTTATAAAAAATAGTGAAATTTCATAATAATAATATCATTTATGGTTGAATGTTCAAAGAACGAGAACACAAATTAACTAATTTAAATTTACGAGAGCACAACACAAATAATTCGTGAACTTCAATCAGCTCACTGTATTCACAAAATGTTTATAATCCTTGAAGGTTCTTTTGTTTATTGAGAGTTAATAATTTGAGCACTTTTCTGCTGAAGTGTGTAAACAATAAGTGCAAGAAAAGTCTATATATATATGCTCAGTTTCTATATACAAATTTACAAATTAATGTTCACTTCACGAGTGTGAAAACCAAATTTCTGTATTAAAGGTTAGAACAAACACTTCAATTTATAGTGCATTTCAACCGAATCGGTATTCAGTATTTATTAATTTATTGTTCGACTGTTTTGAGAAATTGAAACGGTCTTACTTGCTTAATCCAGTTCATACCGGTAAATCCATATAGTGATTATTTATCCATTTATCACTATTCGTAGTAATTTGCACTGTCAGCTAAGGGATTTTCCACTAAGAGAGAGAACACAATGATATACAGAGTTGAAGCCCGTCGAGAGTGAGACAGGAATAACCTTAAACAGGCGTAGTAGAGAATTTTGCTAGGTCCGAGATGACTTGCAACAATTTAGGGGTTAATTACATGAATTGTAATCAATAATATCGTTGATAATATAGGCCATGTCAGGCCTTGAGACACTGGGAGTAGTATTTTACTATAATTCGCGTACTAACGGGGGTTTTCTGGGGGTTTTTTTCCTCTGTAGAGCGTTCAGAGGCGAGAGGGTGCAGAGTCTTTGCTTACTCTTCTGCTTCTTGATTACTACTGTTGTGTACCGTGCGTCGAGTCGACTGCCTTTTTCGGAGCAGGTCGCATAAATCAGGGATGTTGGGTGGCAACTGACCAATCACAACAACAAAATAGATCCATTGCTCATAGGGTAATGAAGAAATCTGTAATTTTACCGATTCAAAAGGGCTGCTGTTGCCAGTTTTACAGGATTCTTTTTTTAGAATATTATTTTTATGATAAATAATAGAAATTGAGATTATATTGATAAACTACAAATAATAACATTTTAAACTTGTTGTGGGTTATTTCCGCAACATATTCCCCCCCTTGAAGTTTCCAAACTTCAATGAGAGACGAAACATTAACAAAAAAAATAAACAACATATTTACAATAGAGAAAGTAGCAGGTTTTAATCCTGAATTGGTAAAGGACATACCTTTGCTATTCCTCGAGTAAAAACACCACTTTGTGTTTTCAATTTTACCACTCTGGTTTTATTGTCTCGTCCAGGGAATACCTCTAAGACTCTGGCTAAAGGCCATCTTAGAGGTGGAGTGTCATCTTCCTTTAAAAGTACTAATGTATTGGGGGTTAGATCTAGAGAATTCCGGAACCATTTAGGTCGATTTTGGAGTCTGTTCAAA